CCCCAAAACCCCAAAACCCCGCAAGTTATAGAGTAGAATAGATTTGTGGAAATTAAAATTAGAGATTAAAATCCACAACAATAAGGTAATTATAATTACTAATGCATATAATAGATTAGGAATTTATATTCATTTAGATTTCATATTAAATCTGGATATCTAGATATTATTTTTTCCATCCATCCTTTCTAATTTTTTACCCACTCTGTAATCTTTTTATCTTTTTTTAATTCTTTTGTCGTAGTTAGTAATCAATAGTCCACGGCTAAAGGGCTAGTATGAGCCAAATATGTGATCACCAGTAATTTAGTTGCTAGATGACTCTGGAGAGTATACTGCTATAATCCCTGTCATCTTGTCGTTAGTAATTTAACTTATTAGGATAAGGTTCCTCGATCCTCTTCTTAATTAAACTTGCAATAGTACTGACATAAATCTTCTGATTTCCCTAATTAATAGCTGATTTTTTAATTAAGGCTGAAGGCAACTATGGTATTTTCAATTACAGTATTTATTGTATTCTAGGTATTTATCTTCAGAATTTAGAACTCAGAATTCAGTATTTGTTTTAGGGTTTAAGTAATTAAAATTTTCGCAAAACGAAATTCGTTCCAATCTATTTTTATGATATAAACTGGTTCTTCAATATAGTCAACTATCATTAGCATCCTAATATTAATGTTAATATTTATTGCATAGTCATGTGCTTGCAATAGCAGTCTTCAATAAATCACTCATCAGTGTAAATATCAAGAGTTTATTAGGAATTGGATTACAAAATGTTTTAATTTTACTCTGTATTGGACTTTTATGATAGGAGCCCAATATATTATATTCAGGAAATAGTCAGATTATTCAGTAAGGTAATCTAAAATGTATGATTATTCACTTAAAAAACTAACTTACCTTCAATTAGGCTGCTCATCCATGATAAAAGATGCAATTTTAGAAAAATTCAACATTATTGGCTGGTAAATCCAAAAAAATGAATGTATTTAAATATATAAAATATAAAAGATGAATAATATTAATTTATTAGAATCTATTATTACCTCTGAAAATGCCAATCTTGAATAAAGGGGTTTTGGGGTTTTGGGG